GTCTCCATCTGTATTCTGATGATAGATGTTGTAGTGGCATTTGCTAGGCTGTATTGTACTAAAGATTTTCCATTGGATTTCGCTACAAACCACAAGTCACTTCTCTTTCCTCTTAACACTGAACAATCTGTGTAGATAATCAGATCACCTGGGCGTGAATTGTTGTGAATCAACTGTTGGACTTCAACCTCTGTAGTGACCGCTGGCCACTCTCTGCACACTTGGCCCAATGTTATCATAACCCTACACAGGTAAGACTTTACCCTGGTACTCTGACCCATTCCTCTAATAGCCCGATGTTCTCGAGCAATTGTACTTGTCTAATGGTGTCTTCTGCTTGAGCTATCCACGAGTAACCCATTTTTAGCCTCTAACCCTTGTCTGCAACCAAAGATTCATACAGAGGGTGTTCCCTGTCTGCAGCTACTTTGAGGTTTGACTTAGCCTGCAGTACCTTTAGCCCATCTGCAATAGTCGGCAATGCAAGGATGTAGCGCATGCGCACAATCGGGATGCTCTTGTACTACCCAAGATCAGCCGCAAAGCTTCACTCTGTAGGCGCTCCAGTTTCTCTAGCTGACTCTTCGAGACAGTGAGTAACTACAATCCATAATCAATCACTGAGGTGATGAAGTGCTGGTAAAGTGTAAAAAGCATTCCCTGCTCCATGTCCATCGCTGCCATAATTTTTAGTGCCTTGTCACAACTCCCTCTATGCGATCCCTAAAAGACAAACTTCTGTCAAAGGTGATCACCAGGTACCGCAGTCTGCTGTCTCCTTTGATGTCCCTGCCATTTATTTTGAGTTTCAAAATTAAATCCCTACGATGACAATCCAAGAGAATCTTCTGGAAGTCTCATTAAAAATACCACGCTCAATTCGTTTTTACGCCCAAATTGTCTTTCGAAATTGTTAACAATAATAACACTGTGTTAGTCCTTTCTGAAGAGACTAAAGACAGTATCCAGAACGTCTTAACAATAATAACCCGGTGTTAGTACTTTCTGAAGAGACTGAAGACAGTATCCGGAAAGTTTTAACAATAATAATACACCCAGTGATAGTCCATTCTGAAGATTAGGACGACAGTATCAGGAAATTACCACTTATGATAAAACAGCTCTGTATCATGATAATACTTTGACCCTCGAAACCAGAAAGTCGGCTTGACAACTTGCCCCCTAAGAAACCAGAGAGTTGCTGCATAGACTTAATTTCACACACTGTATATGGATCGAATGATTACGAATACCGTGATGGCCAGCTGAGAGGGGAAGGGGTGGCTGGGTGGGGGGGGGGGGGGGTATTGTCTAAAACGTTTCATCTAGCTGCGTGGTCTCCAACATTTTTCAGGTGGGCCCCCTTGAGTAACTGACAAGACCCCACACGCCTCCACCCAAACTCCCTTTAGTCCTATATAATTCAGTGTGATTAAAAGAAAAAGCAGAAAACAAAATTCTAAGAACTGTAAACAATAACTTAGAGAACAAGACACACACAATTCTGAGACAAATAACACACCAAATAATCAAAAACAGCGGGTAATCTAGTGTCTAAATATCAATGGGACGGTGGAAACTGTTTTGTCTTATGTCATTTGCTATTTGTGGTCTGACGTTAGACAGGTCACAACGGATTTCACTCTCCACAATCAGCTGGCAGCACTGCTTTGTTTTCATAACTGTTAGCGCTGAAAAACCTGATTGTTACAAGTGAATACATACAACTTCAAAATGCTTTACTCCCCCCCCCCCCTTTTTTTTTCTCCCTTGAAGCCTCAAAATGCCCCCCCCCCCACTTCCTAACGGCGGCATGCCCCTCCCCACCCTAACGGCGGCATGCCCCCCCCCCACCCTAACGACGTCATGCCCCCCCCCCACCCTAACGACGTCATGGCCCCCACCCCCTCCTAACGTCGGCATGCCCAGCAGGTCAGAGAACACTGATCTTGCCCTAGAGTTGATCTTAAAATTGGAGATAGTTGCTAGGACCAGAATGCATCAGAGATTGTGCATGTTTGCCCTTTCTATTATATTTAATTAAAACTCATTATTATTTCTTTACGCTGTAATAACAGCAGAAATAATTTACTTAAAAAATTGAGGAATGGACATGAAGATAATGTCATTATAATGTGGGATTTCATAAATTGCTGTTAAAATAGAGCAGAATTAAAAGTAACGAAGTTTAAAGGTTGTATTAAGCGAGGTATTATTGTGAATCTGCAAACAAAGATTGCTGTGTAATAAAAGAGAGTATTGGATTTCTTAAAACATTACAAGAACTAAATATAGGGGATTATTCGTCATACACACATGTAAAAACATATCATTGTACATCTACTAGCAGTTATGAGTTGAGCTAAGCTGAGTTTTAAAAAAAAACACACACAGCATTTAGGAAATTACTATAAGCGGTATGTATGTTCTCAGTTAGCTAAGCGTTCTAAATCTAATGCTACCAGTAGCCGTTAGATTATATGTCAGTGTAGATTGTATGTCTATTATATGTGTCAATGAAGAGTTTTAAATCTAATGCTACCAGTAGCCGTTAGATTATATGTCAGTGTAGATTGTATGTCTATTATATATGTCAATGAAGAGTTCTAAATCTAATGCTACCAGTAGCCGTTATATTATATGTACGTGTAGATTGTATGTCTATTATATATGTCAATGAAGAGTTCTAAATCTAATGCTACCAGTTTCATTTAGATTATATGTCCGTTTTACCTTTCTTTTGAGTTTGGAGTGTCAGGATCTCACACCTTAGTCACTGCTGTTACAACACACTGACAGGGCTTTCTGTATTTGCCTTTAATTTTGCGAGTGGCTTGAGTGGCAGTTTTAATAATCCTTTAGCAGGATTTCGCTAGGCTGCAATCCATCTCTTCCTGTGTGTCTCTCTCGTTGTATTTATTGACAGTCTTGAATACAGCTTGAGCAGGCTGCAGTTTTATTAGATGTTCATATCACTTCATTTTCTGTCTTTCAATGTGCTCCGTGGACGATTTTGCTTCTATCTTCTCTAAAATGCCGATATTTATGACCTTCTGGAGAAACTTGTGTGGCTGGTGGTCTTTTTGCTGGAGTCCTGTAACTGCAACATTTAGGGACATCTGCAAACTCTTGAAGGCCTGCAATAAGTTGTATTTTCTACCGAACATGTAGGAATAATGAATGTTGTTAGTTAAGTCAAGAATTGCCATCATTGCACAAGAGACATTCTCATAAGCGCCTCGTCCCTATCTTCAGTAGTAAGTTTCAGTTATAATGGTACGGATATCAGTCTGACTGTATATCTATCACTTGAGCATTGAGCAGAAAAATTATGCTAACACAGCAATGATCTCTCTGTGCCCCATCACTGTTCACTCGCTCTCGAAAGACCTTACAACAAATAGTTTATCATGCATGATTTAACAACCAGGTGGTGCATAAAAAGCCAGTTTATCAGCATGTTAGTTTTCCAACGCACTGGTCTCACCTGGATTTATATACAAAGAACGCTAATTACCCAGAACCACTGAAACGATGTTTGCGACTTTGAATGGAGCATCCATGATGTCACTTTTCTTAACATACTCTTTGAGTCAGTTAGAGCTATGTCATTTGTGCACAGCTGGCGCTAAAGCTAAGGGAATGCAGCGGTGACCGCCTTCACCTCCATTCATAGACAAGATTTTGTTATATCATATGCCAGGCGTTGAAACACTAAGCGACCTCCATTCGCGTTTGCTATGAGCCGTGACGCACGTCTTCTGTCTCTAAACACAGGGCCAGCTGTATAGATACCTAGTTCTGCACTCATGACCCAGTGTGATGAGAATCCTACACAAGACTGTTGTTCAGACACTTTGACCCACTCCTCTACTAGCCTAATATTACGAGTATACATGCAGGATCAATTCGCACATACATATTACGACTCTACTTCAGCATAAACCAACATTTATGTAATATTAGATATAATTATGTATGTGCATATATCAACTGTCCAGTAATACATTGTATAAATGCCTGTAATCGGCATCAAGTGCCTAGCAATTTCTGACTCAAAACACCTTTTTTTTTGCACAGACCGAACAAGTCAGTACAACTTATTGGGAAGTCAGTACAACTTATTGGGAAGCCACTCGCACACGACATTAAAAATTGGGTTGTCAGGAATGTGCACACGTGAAACCTTGCACCAGAGAGCAGAACGCAAACTCCAATACTGCCCCCGAAAAGGATATTCTGAGGCAACCAATTTTGCCAACCCCCCCCCCCCCCCCCCCCACCCCCCACCCCCCAATTAGCAAAATGGAAAGACAACATTCCGAACGATGCAATAAACTGAAAAAGACAACACAATTTCAAAAAGGAAATACAGGTGCAGATACAGAAAGCTTAATTCAGGCAAACAAAAGAAGAAATGCCTAGCCGAAATGTTTGCCTAGCTACAAACTCCATAGCTCAATTTTGTCGATTCTAAGTGATCTGTCTAAAACTTCTCCTAGTGAATTGAACTACGCAGCCTATGAAGCGAACACCAGATCTTCAGAGCGCCAGGCAAACGGTTTGACTATTTTACTAAGCAATGAGATCTGCTGTTGGTTCCAAAGCCACATTTTTAATGAAAATTATTAGACCCATTGCATGCCCCCCCCCCCCCCCCCCCACCCCAGCCCTACCCTTTTCCGTCCCGTATTTTTGTTGTTGCAACGAGCATATCTTAGAAGTAGATAAATTAGAAGTCAGGGTTCGTCTGCCTGAGAGGTGAGGAACCAACAGTCTGCATACAAATAACCACACTTGTTAAAATGGATGTGCATACACAATCTCAAAATCTAGATCAAGACCACAGTCCAGTAGTGGACGAACAAGAAAACATTTATTGAAAGTTTACAACCGGGGAACGAGAAGAAGAAGAACGTGAAGGTGTTTATCAAAAACACACTCACGAACAATTGCACAAGAGATGCTATTGTGAATGAAAAGGGAAAATGTGGACTCACCATTGAGCACTGTCACACGCATACTCTCTATCTGCAGGTTGGACGTGCGGCAGACATACATGCCGCTGTCCGACAACTGGGCGTCGTTAATCTCCAGAATACTGACGATAGTTCTTGAAGTAATAGACACGAACTCCCTGAAAAAAAATATTCAAAAAATTAATTAAAAACAACAAAAAGTTATTTCAAAGCATGTTTTGTTGTTGTTGTGGTGTTATGAAATGGCAGCGGCGTGTGATGTGATAATGATGGGTTGTGGGAAAAGGCTGCACTGAGATAGCTCAAGTGCAGAAGATGGGAGCATAATTTTTGTATTATATTAGTTATAATAATAATAATAACACTTCCTGAAACACCTACACATCATGCCATCACATTAAGGTTCTTCTTGCTGAAGACATTTGTTTGGACATAACTTATGGCTTCCACATGACACCTAATTAAAACAGGTTTCTGTCTTCCACAAACCAGTGATTCTGCTTTTCTAAATATTGTTTTAAATCATCGCCTAAAATTCCTTCTTTTTCCCCTTTTCCTTTTTTTTTCTCTTTTCATTTCCACCATCGTTTCCCCTGACGGTTTGTAAATAAACTATCTTCGCAGAGGGCGACCATTTTGTCTACTTAAAAGCTTTAGACATAGTCTATACCAGTGTTTCCCAAACTCTTTTTTAGTTGCGGCGCCTTTTTAAAATTTTCCACGGGGCCCTAACTTAAGTAAAAGTATGAATATTCGTATGTAAAAGATAGACAAAATACACTAGTGTATCTTCGTATACTTTTCATGGTTCCTGTGAAGAAGTCGCGGCTCCGCGAGGCGCCGCAACACACATTTTGAGAATGAGTGATTTAAATTAATTTCAGTTGCCCTAAAAAAAATATACAATTAAAAAAAACAAAACATTTTTACCTCGTGAATTTTTTTCCAGTAAACTATTTCAGAAAAATATATCGTTATGTATATGCACTTGACGACTTGTGTTGCTTGAAACCCCTGAAAGTGTTTTTGGAGCCTGTTTACTTGTGTTTCTGTAATTATGACCGAGAAAAAAGCTAACTGTTGAACTCGTTAATGCAGTCTGTCTTTCACTTGCCGTCGACACTGTTTGGTAAGGACAACACTGCAAGTACACATGCAGGCATACCTACTCCATTGTAAGAAAATAAAACAGTAGATGCCGCTGGCATGCGCACAGAAACGTTCCGAATAATCTCTTAAGTATAAAACAGACGAAATGTTCGCAACGCATTATTCACGTTCTGTCCGTATATGCGAACGCTCATGTCAACAACCTATTCCAAGAATATCACTTCGTATGCTTATGCAAGTTTCCAGTGATAATTTTATAACCCATTTTGATAGATGAAAATTAAACTGTTGTTACTGATTCTATTATTTCATTATCAATTGATTATAGGTAATTTAGGTACAGGCTGTAGTACGTTCCTTGAATGTCTCATTCATCACACATATTTTTGAAACAAACAAACGCAAAACATTGGTGAATGGTGTTGGAATACACAATCATAGAACATAGGAAATTATTGGTTAAAACCTTACATGACAGCATTTGTTACGACTTTCATCGTCCTGTTTATGTAATTTTTAGAGAATACCAGGTGTTGGATGGAACAATCTGGTTGATCATGTGTTATTCTGATCATGTTTCTTCAGTAGTATTACTCGTGTGAGTTTTGGATTTTTCATTTCTAGAAACCATGAGTTCTTAACCCTTTGGCTTGGTACTATGGATATCGCAACCCTTCGGCCTTGATTCCATGATGTAGGTTAGTTGCGTATTTTTTTTTTTTTTTTTTTACAGGACGTTGCTGAACGTTGTACTACGTTTTATAGCCATCACTGAGTTTTATATCATTTAGGAATTCATTTAATAAGGCGGAAGTCACCTTACCAAGAAGCCTATCTGCCAGTCTTATGGTTCAAACAACTAGATAAAAGTTTACATTGATGAGGCATCCTTCGACGGTCAGCGTTAGTGACTAAGGCGTTCTAACTAGCTTCATAATGCCGAAATGTCTGGTTAGACCCTAAATGCAAGCGATTTAGAGGTTAATTCCTTGCTTTTGGGTATCGTTTAGAAAGCAACTGCAAACTATTCCAAGTCAAATTATCAGGAAAAATAAAAATACAAAGCCAAACATTAATGGGCATTCGTTTTGCTGGGTATCGTTAATTCTTTGATGACACAGCCTGAAGTAGGTGAAGCAAACATTCTGGAGAGTAACACTGTGTCGACCGCTACTTACAAACATATCACCTAGACCCAGGTCTTTTTTATATGGTACGAAACGGTACGTAATACATGCACCTTTCTTTAGGAATCACATCACTGTAGTAATCAATATTTTATGGTTAGTACAATCAACATATTTGCAACAGAAAATAAATCCCGACTATTTGGAAGACGTGTAAACGTGTCTTTAATCGTGCAAAAGATTAAAATAAAACTAAAGAGCATTGCAAAATATTCAGCGAGATTACTTAGGCCATCTCCCCTCGTGGGTTCCTATACCCCATTGCTGGGGTAAACAAATCAGACCGATTGCACAAATCAGACCCTGTCCACACCCCCCCCGCCCCCCCCAATCCTCAAACAAACATGCTAAAGAGGTCGACATGTTGGTCGGGGAAGGGGCCCGGGAGGGGGGGGGGGGTTCCTTCGAAGTTGTAGTGCATCTGCTGGAGAAGCAATGAACCAACAATCTGCTAACAAATAAGCAGGTTAATGAGAAGATGAAGAGGAAGAGGGATTAGGCAACTGGACATTCGGTGTCTTTGAGTAGAATAAGAATTACAACCAATCTTACCTGATAGATATCTTGTTATTGTTCTTCATGGACAGTTTGTTCCCATTCAGGAACCAGTCCAGGTAGTCAGGCGGGTGCTCTAGACCAGTGGCGTTACAGATCAAGTGTATCTGGTCATCTTTCTCCACGAACGATGTACCTGCTATCTTGATATCTGTGGAATGGACAACACGTTTACTGTATGCTCAAACGGGCTTTAAACGTTTCATTGCGTGTAGTTGCATCATTTGGGCTGTCAACCATATCACACACACACACACACTCATATATTTGTATACATTCATAAACTAGCATCCTTTGTGTTTCAAAGATTTGGGTTTGCAGAGGCATAATTGGGATGTTCTTTTACATTTTCAACGTTGGATGCATTTTCAACAAGTGCAGCTTGTACCACTGGTCCCATGTCTTCCAGCCTTAGCCGAGGAGACCAGACACCACCTCTTCTTGTCCCTACACTTGTCACCCCCTACCACCACATAACTGAGAACAAATAGGCCATTTTATTTTGTCTACAGTCAAACAGCACAGACAGTCTGATAATCGTATCAGATCCGGTCTACTCATATTGTTTTCTTTCTCTCTCATTATATCCGTACGGAAATCCGAATAATTACCAACTGTTCATAGAACTCAGGATGACAGTGATCGCATATGAGAGCAGGGGCATCTCCTCTATCATTTACACCAGTGTTCGCAGGTGAGAGGAGGGGCATCTGCCGTATCAAATACACCAGTCTTCACAGATGAAAGGAGGCACATCGCCTCTATCATTTACACCAGTGTTTACAAATGAGAGGAGGGACATCTACTCTACCATTTACACTAGTGTTCACAAATGAGAGGAGGGACATCTACTCTATCATATACACCAGTGTTTACAGATGAGAACAGGGACATCTACTCTACCATTTACACTAGTGTTCACAAATGAGAGGAGGGTCATCTACTCTATCATATACACCAGTGTTTACAGATGAGAGCAGGGACATCGCCTCTATCATTTACACCAGTGTTCACAAATGATAGGAGGGACATCTACTCTATCATATACACCAGTGTTTACAGATGAGAGCAGGGTCATCGCCTCTACCATTTACATCAGTGTTCACAAATGGGAGGAGGGACATCGCCTTTGTCATTTACACCAGTGTTCGCAGATGAGAGGAGGGACATCGCCTCTGTCATTTACACCAGTGTTCGCAGATGAGAGGAGGGATATCTCCTCTATCATTTACACCAGTGTTTACAAATTGGAGGAGGGACATCTACTCTACCATTTACACCAGTGTTCACAAATGAGAGGGGGACATCTACTCTGTCATATACACCAGTGTTTACAGATGAGAGCAGGGACGTCGCCTCTATCATTTACACCAGTGTTCACAAATGAGAGGAGGGACATCGCCTCTATCATTTACACCAGTGTTTACAGATGAGAGGAGGGACATATACTCCACCATTTGAACCAGTCCCATGTAGAAATTAATTTTTTTTTTTTTTTTTTAAACACGACTCTTAATTAACAAATATGGAATATGTACTTTTGTGCCAAGTATTAAATGACGCGTTAGGTGCTTTCAGTCTTTGACTTATATTTCATACCGACATTTTAGAACTAGAGAATACACATGATACCGCTAGCTATACATTTACTTCGGCTATAAACCTCTTGCCTTTTCTATTCACAAATATTTAACCTCTGTCGTTTTAGAACTTTCAGACAAGATGGCCAGCGAAAAAAATATAAAGTGTTAAACATGTTTAAGTTCATTACTTCAAATGATCTTTAGGAAATATAGTACCCTAAGTATACGCAAAATGGAAGATGATAGATGGATCATTATAAGATAGCTGGAAAGTAAAAGAACAATTCCAACACTCATTATATAGCCGAGTTAACACGCTTGTTTGAAAACGCGAAAGTTTTGAATTCGAGCCTGCGTGGAAGGGAATTTTATAATTGTTTTTAACTCCCAGTTTGGAACAGCACATATTGGCTACAAGAAAATGTCATAGCGAATAAGGGCCTTCATTCTTACGTTGACCTTATAACTATTTTAATGCTAATTTGTCTAAAACAATAGGGGTAAATTAAACCATATGCCCACTGCACAGAATGTTAAAAAAAATCCTTGAGACTAACACAGTTAATGATCTGTAATGTTATATGTGTATCTTTACCGACATGATAATGACTTTCGGTAATGATATTGTACACTTTTAAACCAATATAATGCATATATATATATATATATATATATATATATATATATATATATATAACATATAACCCAATGATTTCCACTGTGATATGTTAATTTGCTAATGTTGCAGCGTGTAAGCCCTGCTTTTAATTCTTCCAGTCTATTACTACAGACAAAAGCTACACGGATTGCTACTCTAAACCCTTGCACCGGAAGTCAATGCCAGCTATCCAAAAGAAAAAGAATAAAATAGACTTCGACTGGCCTGTTCTCTCCTGGATAGAATATTGAACCATATTGTCAGAAATGACTTTTTGTTTCAGCCCTAATGTGACCTAAATCAATATCCATATTCCAGAGTCATTTAGATGACCTATATTTTGCTTCCTGATGATCGAATATAACATTTACCAATGGGATACAACAGCAGCTAGTTTCCGGTTTCGCTGGAGAGCTAACTAGAAACGTGATACTAAATCCAATGTTCGATATTTCGCCCCTGTCTATTACAGACGTTGAATGAGCAGAAGAATCTGCATTTTGATTTCCAACAGTTGAGTGTATGTGTATGTACTGCCCATTCTTTGACAAACATTATCATGTAAAATATTTTTATATGCTTTGTTTAAACTTTATTAACATAAGTTTTTAATGCTCTTTTCCATTAGTTCCTCTGCATTAAATTATGTTAATGTTTAAATAGAGTAGTATAGTCAGATACGCTTTCAAAAGGAAGAGGCAGTGATCGACAGACAATATATTGGAGAAGTATATTAAGGACACACATATAAATGAAAGATAAAAAGCAAGTAAATTTTACCCAACCAGGACATCACACAGAGGGATAAACACCTGGTGACACAAAGTACCACCATGCGGAATAGGATCACCTGTGGAGAGGACCCGGAAACCGTGTTCAACCGTAGGCTATATTGCGACTTCCAGCATCAGCCAGGTTTCGGGCTTTAAAATAACGAAAAATTGCATCCCACACAGGGGATGACGGAGATAGAAATGAAAGTTCATGTACACGGACAGATGCTAGAGTTATCCTGTAGTTTTCAAGCAATGACAATAAACTAATACGAATCCTATACACCTCTGCTTGAAAACATGTTCATCAGTCTCATAATAAATTAGCAGGTTCTTTCTACAACGTGGCTATAGTCAAGGCAGGCATGAAAGGCTAATTTTATCTGGCTAATTCTCCAGTCCTATATACTTTTATGGCTAAGGCATCTTCGCCTAGGCCATCATGGCGTTTAACGTGTGAGCTGGTGAAATACCTTATGTAATAATTCTACGTGTGTATAGCCAGCTTATCGTGCTCGAATAATTCCATCAACGAGAAATTGCCGTTCTGGTGGCGACTGATGGTTGTGGTGCCTCTAGCAACTGAATGCATTTACTGTGTGCTCATATTTCTGGATTATTCGGGGACTAATTATTTGCTCAGCTTTTCAGTGAGACAGCGAGGGACATTTTATTTGATTTTAACTGGCACAGGAACGGAGCAAGTATGGGGAAACCCTATTGCATTGAGGCTGAAACATCGTCTAAGACTAAGAGGACACTTACCAATGTTTATCAGTATGCTGTAGGTAAAAAACTGAAATGGGTACCAAGTCTTGGAGAGAATTAACCCCTGTTAGCGACACTCATCATATCACCCATCGAGAGCCGACTAGTCAATAAAGAAAATGCGTGTCTAGCATCATATGCCAGATACCAAATGGGCTTAAAATGTTCCCTTTGCTTAACTGACTCAAAGTGGTGTCATGTTGTATTTTGCTTCAATTTGATGTTTTCCTCTTTACTGACTAAAGCTCGCAGGTCAATCCAGTTTAAAATATTTTCAAAGAACTAATTCAAAGCAAATTCAGTGCTCTTAGCATAACATCAAAAGTATGTCTGAAACTGACATGAAAGCATGAGAAAGAAAACAAGAAGAAAATTATCTCTTATCTATTGCTTTCATCTGTGGCGTGTCAGAACAGCAGTCAGCTTTTATAACTAGCAAAATTAGCATATACAGAGTATAAGGTATTTCTTCTGCTCGTTACTCCTCCAGTACATCGTTGGTTCTTAGTGAACTCTGCAAAGTTTTCGTATCCTTTCCTTTCGTATGTAGCTGATCTTTTATCTTTCCCCCCACCTTTTGAGTTTATTTGTTATTTCCCCTATCAGTATGTTTTTGGTACACCTTTATTTCTGAAGCAAAGTGGTTTCAGTGTAATTACATTCTAGTTGTGTTGTTATCATGTAGTTTCAGTGAGTTTCCTATTCATGACCAGTGTCTTTTTTTTTTCACCTCTCGATTACCTGGAATATGAATAGTTCTTACCTAAAGCCACACATTTATGAATCTGTGGCGCTGTTTAATTTTCTCATGGTCTATTCTGTACCGGCTTCTTAGTTCTTATTTATAGTAATTGTTTTAGCAGTTCTCCATGTTTCAGCTCTAAATATCTGTGCGTGTTTGAAATTATAATTTGGAACAAATATATATATACTGGCAACAAGAAGCAGACATAAGAATTGACAACCAAGTTGGGACTTTTCAAAATATTAAACAAGACGTTAGATAGGACTGTATCTTTTCCTTCGATTTATTTAATTTATACAGTGAAATAAATTACATTCATGCATGGTACGTCAGGAATAGCGGCTGGTTGGCATTCTCGTTAGCAACCTGCGATATGCTGACGATATGGTTCTGATCGCTCAAAATGAAACACAACTGCAAGAAATTGTGGATATAATTGCAACGGAAAGTAAAAACAAGGGTCTTAAACTGAACAGCAGAAAAACAGAAGTAATGGTAATTTCAAAGTAAACTAACCCCCCCCCCCCTCCCCCCCCCCCCAACCCAACACCCCTCCCTAAATGCAACATCAAAGTAAATGGGACAAATCTCAAGCAAGTTGAAATGTTTAGATACTTAGGTACC